AAGGAGTTCCTATGGGAAATTGCACTGTCTATATTTACAGAAATGCAACCTATAGACTTGCTTAAAAGTCTCGCTGATTAGTCTCATTGAGTTTGTCTTCAAGTTTCTGTCGCTCCTGACGTTGAAATTGTCTTTTCTTTTATATTTTCTGTTTAAGCGATCAACTCGGACCGGTAAAACGTAACCATTTCTACTAAGATTCGCATACGCTCTTCTACTGGGTAAAAAGATTTTCATTCCAATACGGTTTGTGACGCATTTTCCTACGACCAGAAGAATTACAAAATGTTTACGCATTTAACATTTGACTAAATCTTGAAACTCATGAGGGTCTGGATAGGGTGTCATTCATTTCTATATTTTTTTATTTTTCAGGTCATTTTTCTTTATTCTTTATACTTTCTGTCCTTTAGTCTCTATTCTTAACATTTTAGCACCCCATTATTCTCTATTCTTAATTTTTTAGCCTGTTTTTCTCTATACTTTATGTATTAGACCTTTATTTTACACCTTTCGTCTATTATTCTCTATTCTGTAAACCCGGACCCTCACTCATCGTATATGCATGTTGCACATCATTTGATACTTCTATATAATTTTCAATTTTCTGAATTTGTTTCAATTAATTTCACTTGAATTTCCTCATTCAATAGAAAACATTGGGAACCAATGTCAAATTATATTTTATACGAGTTTAACTGATCGGTGCATGCTGTGGCTTCAAAATTAAATCGATAGATAATTTTATATAACAATACAGCAATGAGTGATCCAGTAAACTATCAGGAATATATGTTATATCGTCAGAAATTTTCAACATTGATACTATTTTGAAATCGCTAATAAACTCCATATCCTCATAGGAAACATATATATGTAACCTATTACAGCTGGTTTACCGTTGGTCGATATACATGTAAATTCGCTATCCTTATATCGATCATTTTACATTCCGAGATTAACATCACTTATAAAATTCATGAAAACATCTCCATGATGATTTTTTACATGATCTATAACATTTCGTGGTTTCACTAAATCGACGCCTTCTATAAAATCAGAATGAGAACCTTCACTTGCATTCATGTTACCATGGTTACTGCATATAAATATTTTTCTCTTTTCTAGATAGGAATATATTTGGTTAAAAAGATGTGGAAAATAAACATCCGCATCCACAACATAGAAGCATTTTTTTTTAAACTGTCAATTCAGTATACTTAATACGTTCAATCTTAGTCGTAAGTTTTTTTGTGAAACTGATTCCAGAGTTGCAATACGGATGCTGAAGTGCGCTTGTCTCGCTGAAGTTCGATGGTTTGCGCCGAAATGCGATAGTCCTTTCGCTGATGTGCGATGGTCTATATAACGCGTAATGGCGAGTTTAAAATCTACAGATGTGCAATTATTATTTGAGAAGTAGATCTTAATAATGTTAGTATATAAATCATCATTCATTATTTTCTACATATGTCCTTAGTTACAATACTATTGCATACTAAATGAGAGATCGTCCTCTTTGATTTTCTGCATGTGGACATAATTCTGCGTTAACATTTTATTTTTACTTTGTATTATAAATTCCTCGTTTACCGTTATATTATAATACGGAGAGTATGTCAGCGGATCCATATGTATATAGATAATGCCACGCTCCATCGTACGTAAAAAAATCCTTCTGTAGATTTCGGATTTTTAATAAAATCCGCTACGGAAGGTTAACTTTCCCAGATCTTTTCTAGATCTCTATCAACCGCTCCCCGTTTCCCGTAGTATTAAAAGAAAGATACCAAAGGATATGGAACGCCATGACTGCCTTATGTTCATGATTGTCAAGAGATGCAGTGGTCACAGCATTATATGCAGTCATGGCAGTATTATATGAAGTGGTTACAACATTATATGCAATTGTCGGAACATAACTATGCAGTGGTCACACTGAACATTATATGCAGTCGTGGCAACATTATATGCAGTTGTCAGAGCATTTTATGCAGTGGTTACAACATTATATTTAGTAGTCACAACATTATATGCAGACATGACAACATTATATGCAGTTGTCGGAACACTATAACTTGGTCACAACATTATACTGTTTGTTGATGAAGGTGATGATCAGTGATAGTGATGATGATGATTGATGATAGTGATGGTGGTGGTTCAAATCGGTAAACTTCGTAAATTGCCGAATCCGGTCATCATTGATAACGCCTCGCAAACAAAATGAAACAGTTTCTGAAGTCATGTAATTTATGCACTTCGGTTGAAACTTCATCAGAGAAACAATAACACTTGCTATTGTCTGCAAATTGGACAGACACAAGTTTTATAAATTTAGGGGTAGTTCATCCGAGGAAATGATGAAACTAAGAGTTGCATGCATTAATTAATCATAGTTATGTTCGTCTTGAGAAATACGCATGGCATAATGTTAGTAAAAATTATGAATAATAATAATGAAATATCAAAGGACAGTTTGTATACTATATGACTCGAGTTTATTTCCTACTGAACAACAATAGCTAGGTGCCACTTTTTAGTCGATATTCAGTTTAAATTGCAAAAATACAGTTGAATAAAATAGTCGGATGTCTATGAGACTTAAACCCCGGGGGCCCATATCTCGCTTATATATCATGATAGAGCCATTATTTTGGCTTCCATTTTCAGAATTATGCATATTCACATGATTTAGTATCTTACAGACATGAAAAATGCAGTTTAAAGCATGTTATTGTAGGCACTACAAACCAGTAAAAGTCTGAAATGGCCTATATCTGTACTCGATTGGACTGATTTTTACTCGACCAGTCTGAATTGGTCTGAAATTTACTTGATAATACTCGACTGTAGTCTGAACCATACTTAACAGTCTGAACTTGTACTCGACCAGTACTTAACCATTTTATACGCGTCTGAACCATGCTCGACCTAGTCTGAACCATACTCGACCTAGTCTGAATCATGCTCGACCTAGTTTGAACCATACTCGACTAAGTCTTAACCAACCTAGACCTATTTTTTGTATCTATCTATTGTATTTCATCAATTTAGGAACTGTTTTTAACAACAACTATTTCCCCTGGCTAGAAATTTGAACAACGATTTGAAATTAAAAATGTATTCAATATAGCATTGAAACCAAAATTTCACAATAAACATAATATAACTTCAACACCATATTCATCAACACTTACATATATATATCACCTTTAAAATAAAGATAAAACAAGCTGATCAAGTAATCTCAAAACTGAATTGTGACTAATATTTTCAATGTTATTCAAAAATGTTTGAATGTTTCAGATATATTATATGGTTACTGGACAATTTTCACCATTAACTTAAGCCTAGTATAGATTTATGGTGTCAGTTGAGTTTAGTTAATAATGCAGTGAACATTTTTTTTATTAAAATATATATAAAATAGCAATAAAGCAACTTGATAAATTTTAAAAATGGCACCTTTGTTTTGTTAAACCAAGAATTTAATATAATCATGATAATAGAACTTCCATAGTAATCCTGTGATAAACTTTTAAAAAAGGAAATGTGTTCCAAAGTTACAGTAAAAATTTATTTCAATTAAATTTAAATAATTTTTGTCAAAATTAAAAACATGGCATACAATAAGCACTTTAATAAGGTTTAATTACCTCAGTACATGTATGTTTTACAGGTAAAAAGAAACTCGTGTATTACTTATCTAGTGAATTCAAAAGGCCTTGTGATTTAAGTTTCACAGGATGTTGCAATTTTGAATGAATGTTATTTAGAATTTAATACTCTCTGACCAGGTGTGATCTTTTTCATGAGTTTGGCCCAAGCAGGAGGTTACTTCACCACTAATCGGAAGAACAATTTTATTAAGTTCTTGAATTTTTATCCCTTTTTGATATATATTGTATAAAATATATCCCAAATTATAATAATAGATAGATTTCTAAAATAAGGTAAAACAATTTCAGTGATTTTGTTGGCTGTTGTTACCTCATTAAAAAGATAATTATATAACTATTGTACATTTTTTGTATGTAACCATGAAACCTATGCAGTTTTTATTTAGGAATTTAGGAAAATTAATTTAAAAAAAAAGACACATGCCAAACAAGAAGCACCTTAATAAGGTTTAATTACCCTCAGTATATGTGTGGTTTTTAGGTAAAAGAAAATCTTTTTTTTAACAAAACTCTAAAACTTTAAAATTAATATAATTAAATTATTACGTAATATAATTTGATTTAACTATCTCTTTTTGATAAATCTGAGAATCATGTAAGAATGTAAAAATCTGTTTTATAATATATCTTTATTTTATTGTGGCTGTTGCCATGTCAGTTAAAAAGAAATTTATTTTAACATTTAAAATTTAGAAAAAGTAGAGATGATATTTGGTCAAGTATGGTTCAGACTGGTCGAGTATTGTTCAGACCTTTGGTCAAGTATGGTTTAGACTGAAAAAAATAGGTAGAGTACAGGTCGAGAATGGGTTAAGAGATGTCTACTATCTCTTGATTTGTTTCATCTTTGGGTATTTTATAGCTCACTATATGTTAAAATTTTGCTCATTGTTGAAGGCTGTACGTTGACCTGTAATTTTTCACAACCTTTGTCTATTGGTCTTTATGGATAATTGTCTCATTCCATATTTCTTACTTTTATACTTAACCAAGGCTTTGAAATCAAAAGAAGGAAATACTCTTCTTTTCCAGTTTCCCATGCAGGTATTGACCTATGTCTTTGATATAATTCATAATGACTTATTCAACTTCCAATATAGTTGATCTAATTGTGACTTATAATCTATTTATAAAGTCTTTTCAAGGATTTTCTGCCATTTCACACTTGAGTATACAGCCTTATACTGCTCTATGGTCGGGTTTTTGTCTCTTTGACACATTCCCCATTTCCATTCTCAATTTTATTATGTATGTATGTCTTCTAATTCAATACCAAAATCCTTCTATCCAAAACATGTTAACAAGCAACAAAAAAAAATCACTTTACATTTATTAAATCATTTCTTAACATATAAAAATGTTTAGCATGAACTATCACATGTATGATCATGGTAAAATACATTCTCAAACAATAAACTCTTACTGGACTTGTTTAAAACATACAACATTAAAATAATTTATAGGTATCTTTGATGAAGTGTCATACAGCAATTAAATACTACAGATATTCAGATATGCAATTTTGTATTTATATATACATATATACTATATATATTTCAAAGTCTTCCCCTAAATGTCTTAGTTATGTTGTGTCAATGGGTTGCTGTCTAAAGACATATTTCCCACATCCACTTTTTAAATGATTGGAACTCTTTTTCGGAAATAATTGCAGCGTCACGGCCTTTTTGTGCAGGGGCGGCGTAAAGCATACACCAATCAATCAATCTTCAGAAATGAGGTTCAATCTTCAGAATATTTAATGAAAGCTGTAAAGAATATAGTGATTGATTGTTGGAAAATTATTTGATGCTATTCAGGACAAAAAGATAATTCAAAAACATAGGTTGCCTAAAGTAGGTTGACCTGGATGAAGGGCAGATATTTGGATAGCCACTGGAAAAAGGGTTTGTTTAATTGCAACAGAAAGTTTGCCTTTCAACATGCCACCCACAAGCCCAGAATCCAAGTTGTCGTTACATGGGTTCTTACAAGAGCAGACAGTGTGGTACTCTTCATACATGAGAAGCTGAATATTTGAAGATGTGGGGTATGTCAAAGAGATAAATACTCTAAAACACGCGATAACAAGAATAGATATTTGTTACATGGTCTTTCTACAATAGACAATGGCCCAAACTGTATTTTGTAACACTAACATTTTGTTAAACACAAAGTCATACAATCATGACCACTCTTTACCTTTGAACGTAAGTAAGAGCTATATCTAAACATAACAAACATTATTATCCACTAACTACATTCAATTTCACTCAACACCTCTTAGAATTTTTCTCACCCTACTATTTGGACTGAGATACTTGGAGAAAACAGCCACAAACAACTTTTAATTCATGATTTTCAGACATTTTCACATTGCATCCTTAAATACCAGATACTACGTGTACTATTAACCTGTTACAACAGCAGAAAAAATTACATAGTTGTGGAGTAAATTATCTATTGGCTTCTGTGGTTTCATTATTATTTGTTGTGTACTAATTTTGCTAGATTTTTTCGGTAAATGATATTAACTGTTCAAAAATATGTAAATTTTAAAAAAAATTATGGACCAAATTTGTCATAAAATATACAAAAATCTGCATCAACAGAAAAAATGAAACCACAGTATACTATAATAAAATAATCGAATAAACTGTATTATAATAAATGCATTTAGTATCACAATTTATATATCAAACATTTTAATGGATTCAAATACCGTAAGTTCAAAAAATTATTGCAATTTGAACAAGCGACTGGGCTTGTACTCCAATAATAAGAACTTGCATTCTGAATTCAATACATATATTTGTAAGCAACATTTTATTTAATTGCAATATTTAATCTTGCATTTTTGTCCATTCTTTTAAAATAAATGCACACAATAATTTCTGAATATAAATTCTGTAGATGATCAAACTTTTGCACCAACATGTTTAACAAGGATACAGCTCAGAAGGACTTACATCACCAGTCCATGGCAGTAGCAGTCATGTGATTACAAAATTATAATTTGTGTAAATCTCTTACACAGCTGAAGAGCAGAATGGTCTTATGTGCATAAAATCTGATTTAGAATATAAATGATCGCTAAATAGGGATTTCACTTATCAATGGCAAATGACAAAGAAAATGATATTTTTACAATACACGCCCTACGAAATGTTTATTTTTATTTTTAATGTACATGAAAACATTTTCTTTTTGTATTTATAAGAAGAGATGTTTTAACTGGACTTGATTCTTAAGGATGTACTTAGGTGAGGTTTAGGAATTTTTGTCAAATGTTCCGACTCCTTGGTTTTTTTCCTACGATTCAGTGTAAAATATTTTGCCCCATAACACCCATTTTTCTTTTTATATAAGACTTCATAAGGTCATTTACCAAAATTTAAGCAGATTCTAGATTTTTTTTCTTTCGATTTGAGACCCAAATAATACCAATGCAAATATAAGGTAAAAGTCTGAGTCAGCGTTTTCCTGCCATTTTTTAAAAATTAAATATCTCGAAAAGGAGCTCCATAACCTATCAATATTTTTAGCTTACTTAAAGTATCAATTTTGAATTCTAGATTTTTTTAATTTCCCCTAAGTACATCCTTAAACCAATACATGTATTAAAAATAATTTTTCACCATTTAAGTGCCAGTCTTTGAAAGAATCAGGCAATTTTGAAAAAATCAAAACATGCCCGAAAAAAAACCACGGACCTAACCATCCTATTTTTAAGTCACCCTCATCCTGAGTTGGAAATGGTAGGTATTTCATTTCTGCGTGTCTGGTAATTCGAGAAATCGCTTGATAACTTTTGGTTAGAATGATAGCAAATTAAGGAGTGAGCTCCCCTTAATTGTTAATTTCTAATGCATTTCAACCAAATTATATATTGAATTACCAGAACAGGACAAAGAAATGAATGTTATATTCGTGCACCATTATACAATTTGAAGGTAAATTAATGTCAACTTGAGTGGGTTTTTTTTGTAATGTTTTCACCACTGCCTGATTCTATTAAAGGCAAATGGCACTTAATATAGTTCAAGCTTTTCTACATTATTATAAGAGCTATCTAATTGAAATGAATGTGGTAGGATAGGAAGGGAAATTGCATTTTTGGACATGGGTCGTTTATAGTTGTGTATCCATTTGGTGTATACAATTTTTATTTACTCCAAGAAAGTATGTTGTTTGTGGGGGATGTTAGAACCTCCCACATCCATTTTAATGGAATACCCCTATTTTTTAATGTAGATGTAGAAAACAAACTGAAAACATAATATTAAAAAGATCTCCAAGAACAAATAAAAACTTCTTTACCATGTTTACTGAAGCCAAACAAATGGATGTTTTCAAGTTTTTAGTCTGTTTTACCATTTAATTTGTATCATCCTGCTGACATGTTGTTATTTGAAAACTTCTCTTAGCCAGAATGACACATTGTTTATGTTTATGAAAATAAATATTAGAGACGAAAAAAAATACAGCACTATTATATTACACATGATTATTTAACAGAAATGGCAAGATCTCTCAGAAACTTTACCACAATCAACCTATGTCAACTGTTTATGACTATTTTTTAAGGGCTGTTCCAGAATTAATTGTACAGGACTTCTATTAAAATTTGTTGGGTTGCGGTTACTTTAGAAAGATTGATTGATTGATTGTTGCTTGTTTAATATCCAGTGGGAACAATCATACAAAATAATCAATAGAAATTTTAGGCATGCTAGGGTAACCATCACCCAAATACATATTATTTTTGGAACAGACCTGTATTCATTAAATTTATGCTAGACTTGTATCATTGTTCTCTAATTGTAAGTTTGATCCATATTAGGTTTTATTTTATCACAAAGTCAATGTGTTCCTATTAGCATGGAAATCTGTTTAATGCAAGTATCTTCAGCACACAGCTGATATCCACATTCTGTATTTGTTTAATATAAACACTCTTCCACAAGGAGAAGACAAGATAATGTTTCCTTTCATCAACTTTTCCCTGATCCTGTCTCTTTTTCTTCATCTCCTAACTTTTTGTCTGCCATTTCTGCTAAAGCTTCCCGAATTTGTGCAACAATTCCATTTTCATCAACTGCTGTTTGACCTGAAGAAAAACAAATTCAGACAAAATAGTAAGCAACATTTTTTTATTTATTAGGCCAAATATACGTGTGGTTCCAGTTAAATCCTGAAAAAAAATGGAATTGGTAGCTAGGCATATTTTTTTGGAGTTTGTCTTCACGGAGCCCCTCTCTGGTATTATACATGCCCTACCAGGAGTTCACCATTTTATGTGTTTAGCTGTAAAAATAAACATACATGTTACGTTTTTAGTTAATTTTGATGCATTCTGTTAAGAATTTGTTGCATTTTAGCCATATTGGATACTTCTAATGGGAAATCAGATAACAGAAGTCTGTGAATTTAATTATTGAAATCCACATTCCACATATTGGATCATTCAATTTATTTTTCAGAAATGCAAAAAAAATGTTCTAGGTTCAGGGATTTAAACTAGGGAAGGTTGGGTAACTAGAACGACACAAATATTTTTATTTACCTTGCCTTACCATAAATTTCTAAATACACTGTAGTCTGTATTTTGTTAAATGTTAGCTTACAATCATATTCCCTATATTTCTTCCAATTCTATAAAGCAGATAACATTGAAACCTGTTCACATTGATTCATTTTCATGGTTCTTTAAATATTGTGGTATTCAAAATATTGTAATGTAGTGTTTTGGGAGATATTTTTACTTGTTCGTACATGCCACAAAAAAGCAAAAAATTTATAACAAATATAATAAAATGCTCCGCTGGGGCGCAGCTTGATACGACCGCAGAGGTCGAACCCTGAACAGTTGGGGCAAGTATGGACACAACATTCAAGCTTGATACAGCACTGAATTTGGATTGTAATTAAATATTTGACACAGCATAGGTTTCTGACACAGAATGAAAGTGGTCTAAGAACTTAAAAATTTTCAATTTACCTATTCATACATGTGATGGACTGTGAAACTCAGATCAGGAGATTGGGAAATTTTGGTCAGGAGATTAGGACTCAGATCAGGAGGTTTTTAATCGACATTAATTTTGTTGTAAATGTAACCGTTGTGCTGTAAAAATGGTCTTTTAAAGTGTGTTTTCTTCAACTTTCCAACCAATTTATTATGTTTATAGTACCCTTGTACTTATAAAGTTTCTCCATCTTTATATTCTACATGTTCAATTTAACATTGTTTTTTTCCAGTATGTTCTTTAAATTTTTTACTTCATATTCTATAAAACAATCATTGCAACCAGAACATTTGTTTAGCTGTCTGCAAATAGTTTTTATTTTTTATTTTTTTCTCTTGCAAATAGTTTTTATTTGCAAACTCAGAAATTCATTCTATCTGTAAAGTTAGGGTCATAGTTATTTATAAATTTCAATTTAAGCCTTAAAAGGAAGTATAGAATCCTCAAATAATTTTCAAATTATTATTTTTTTATTTGTCCTAAGACATTTAAAATCATTTAATAACCATCCTTTTATGATTATTTGTTCAATTTATATTTTATTTATATTCTTTTAAAAATTTTCATTATTAAAAGGAAAGTAACTTAAAACAGGATAAATCAAGGGAAGTAACCCAATAAATACACAGTTTTTGTTACACAACGGCAGTTAGCCTGAGGTAAAAATCGTTGCTTACCAGTATGTTTGACACCCAAGCTGACAAGTGAAGCCATATAATTATGCATGTTAATTGATTTACAGGTAAAATATAACTTCAGGTAATGTCAGTTACACCAGATGCCTGAGATGTTATGTTGGGCAGAAATTTTTCATTCATGAAAAATTTCATACACGGGATTTTTTCAACGGGAGGTCGGGAGGAGACCCCTGAAAACGGGATTATTGTACTCCCATCGGGAGGTTCACATGTATGCCTATTCAAACCATATCATTATTATTTGCTTTTATATAAAAATCAGAAATAACCAATTTAAAATGGAAAATGTTAAAGAAAAAAAAGGAAAAAAAAAATCCCCCCCCCAATTTTTTGAACCCCCTTATGATTCATCGCCCCCAAACTCAATCCCAGCTTTCCCTTTGTGGTATGGTACCTTGCAGTACAATTTCAGAGAGATTCATACACTTGAACACAAGTTATTGTCTGGAAACTAGAAAAATGCTTGTTTTTTGGCCCCTTTTTGGCCCCAAATTCCTAAACGTTTAGGGCAATTACCCCCAAACTCAATTCCAGCTTTCCCTTTGTGATATGGAACCTTGCAGTACAATTTCATAAAGATCCATACACTTACACACAAGTTATTGTCCTGAAACTAGAAAAATGCATGTTTTTTTTGCCCTTTTATGGCCCCTAATTACTAAAATTTTGAGGGAAAACCCCCAAAATCAATTCCAGCCTTCCCTTTGTGATATGGAACCTTGTAGTACAATTTCATAAAGATCCATACACTTACAAACAAGTTATTGTCATGAAACTAGAAAAATGCTTGTTTTTTGCCCCTTTTTGGCCCCTAATTCCTAATATTTGGAGGAAATTACCCCAAAATTCAATCCCAGTATTCCCTTTGTGATATGGAACCTTGTAGTACAATTTCATAAAGATCCATACACTTACAAACAAGTTATTGTCATGAAACTAGAAAAATGCTTGTTTTTTGCCCCTTTTTGGCCCCTAATTCCTAAAATTTGGAGACAATTACCCCCAAAATCAATCCCAGCATTCCCTTTGTGATATGGAACCTTGTGGTACAATGTCAGAGAGATCCATACACTTACACACAAGTTATGTCTGGAAGTTACAAAAATGCTTATTTTTGGCCCCTTTTGGCCCCTAATTCCTTAACTGTTAGTACCATAACCCCCAAAATCAATCCCCACCTTCCTTTTGAGGTATTGAACCTTATGGTAAAATTTCAATGAGATCCATTCACTTAAACTAAAGTTAGAGTGCGAAAACTAATGTGTATTCGGACGACGACGCCGGACGACGACGACGACGACGACGACGCCAACGTCATACCAATATACGACCACAAAAATTTTTTTGCGGTCGTATAAAAATACAGTTCACTGATTTATTTTTTTATAAATGTCTATATCTAATAAATACCTATTAAATTAAAATTTCCTAGAAGAAGCTATCATCATCCAAAGATTTTTCTTTTGATCTTCCCAAGAAATGATTCATCATCATCATGCTCAGACAATCTTTCCCCAGAAGTCATTTTCTCACCCGATTTCTCTCCCGAATCTAAAACAGAGACTGTCAGTAAAAAACCAGCTATCTCAAAAAGGAATTTCAAGTTTGTAGTAAACCCTTTTTATGTTTTAGATATTAACAGAAAGAGACTGGTGTAAATTTTACATCTAAAATGTGTATTCTATTGTAATTATCCATTTACCATGTTTACCAGATAATGATATTCTTCTAGGAAATCTAAAGCATTACTTTTTTATCTCTATTTACACATAAAATTTTGATAAACAAATAATTCATAGGAAAAACAGGAATCACCAAAATAATCAACCACCACTATCGGACTTCCAAAAAAATCAGATGTACAAATAAAGGTCCAGATAGCCCGACTTGGTACATGAACAAAATGTGGTAGGGTTAATCCACCAGTTAAAAGTTCTCATAAACCTTCCCCTTAGAAATTGCATATCAAGGCCATATTTCCTAAAACACAGCAGTTATCACGTTCAGCTAAAACACCATCATATAGATAAAAATGCTGTTAAAAACGACACAATCGAAAGGAACCAATCAACTTTTTTCTTGGAAGGTTTAAAATAACAAATAACTGAAAACCAGAAGGGTAAATGAAAAACATATTATGTTTATCAACTGAATTGACTTTTAAAACTTTCACAAGATTGTAGTGTACATGCCTGAAATGCTAATGACATAAAAAGCCCTCTGGTTAACTGACTGAAAATTACGAGTCAAATGTTACCTTCAATGACAAAAAATATCATTCTCTGATTCCCACCTACCTTGTGCTGTATTTACAATGCCGTTCACTGTGCCTTTAACTTTCTCTAATTCTGCATAAGCTAACATTAATGCTTCTTGTTCTTTACTTAAAGATCTGTTATAAATAAGAAAAATAAATGTTAGCATGGGAAAAAAGAATAGGTGCACATAGGACACCATGCCCATCCAACAAACTTCATGACTTGGATATTTCAGTTTCACACAATGAACATGATGAAACTCTTAAACAAATATTTACGACCAAAATGACAAATTTTTGTTCCCTGTTGTTAATTTTCCTTTTTTGTGACATTGATGTTCCAATGATCCCATTTTGAAAAGTTAATTCATCTCTACATTAACTTTATTGAGGGAATTTGTTTTGTAAAATCTTTATTTATGAATAAAAGGTGCTACATCAATGAGATGCCAACTGAACAACAAAATTTATCAAAAGACATCTAGAAAGCATTTTACCCAAACATACACATCCATTTGCTTCCCCTTCTGGTTTTTGGTGAGGTTTGTGTTGCTCAGTCTTTGTTTTCAATGTTTTGTTTTGTACACTGTTGTATGTCTTTTGGTCTTTTTTGTTTTTTGCCATGGCGTTGTCAGTTTATTTTTTTCGACTTTTTGAGTTTGAATGTCCTTTTGATATCTTTCGCCTCTCTTATACAGTTTCATATAAAATTTACAAAATTCATGACAATTCTTAAATATAATCATCCATCAATATTTGACTGTAATCCTCCCAACAAGACAACACAGCTACTTACACAGGGACTTTAATATGTAGATGTACATAATGGTCACCATGTCCATAACTGTTTACTCTCTTCAGACCTTTTCCAGCCAATCGAATTCTATCATGTGACTGACTTCCTGCAGGTATCTATAAATAGAATAAATTATAGTTTAAGATATATCACAAACAAGAATGTGTCCATAGTACACTGATGCCCCTCTCGCACTATCATTTTCTATGTTCAGTGGACCATGAAATTGGGGTCAAAACTCTAATTTGGCATTAAAATTAGAAAGATCATATCATAGGGAACATGTGCACTAAGTTTCAAGTTGATTGGACTTCAACTTGACCAAAAACTTTAACCTGAAGCGGGACAGACGGACGGATGAACGGACGCACAGACCGAAAAACATAATGCCCCTCCTACATACAAATAAATATAGTAACCTATGTCAACTCATGTATAAATAAAGTATAAAATAAAGACCTTAATCTAGATTTACAAAGCTGGGATTTTGACAAATTTGAACAACCTTCCAGGCACATGAAGACTGTTTACTTTTTCCTGCACGACAATGTTGCAATAAGAATACACTGTAGCGTAATTTATCCCCCAATAAAAGAAGAATGTGTCTGAGAACACGAATGACCCCGCTCAAGCTTTTCAATTTTAAAAAGTTAAAAAGGGGCATAACTCAAGAACGGTAAGTGACTCACTGCCCAAATTCAAACTCTGTCTGCTAGTTTTGAGTTTTAAGCATTGTTTACGAGTTTTATAAAATTAGGATGAGGAAAACTTAAGTTAGAGTGCGGAAACGAAAATAGGACACACGATGGACGGATGGCCACAGGTAACACTTAATAAATGGTATGTCCAGCATTTAAAAAACTAGATTTTCTTTTTCTAGCTTAAAAATAAGCACATGGACCTATCTTTCTTTTGCATTCGACTGTGTTTCCAAACATTTGATTATTTCCTGCAATAAAACTTACATTAAGTAAAATTTCCTCATAAACACCTGGAATTCTGACAGTACCACCTAATACAGCTTGTGCTACACTTATATGCACTTCACTGTGTAAGTCAGCTCCCTGTCTTTTGAAATCTCGACTTTTAGCTACCTGTAATGTAAACCAATAGACCATTTCACAAACATTCAATACCTGAATCCTGTGTTTGACAATCCCATACTACCTAATGTATATTTCTTAAATTTAAAATGATGTGTAATGGTGTACTGTATATTCCTGAATTAAATCTAAAGTTGATATTCAAAATTCAAAGTTACTTGTATACAACGTAAATCACTTACAAAAACATAAATATGTAAATTGGTGGTGTTTTCACTTCAAACATTTATTAAAGATAGGATTAATATTGTTGTCTTTATGGCTGTTCCAGAAAAAATAAAATGCTCCGCAGGGCGCAGCTTGATACGACCGCAGAGGTCGAACCCTGAACAGTTGGGGGAAGTATGGACACAACATTCAAGCTTGATACAGCTTTGGATTTGGATTGTGATTAAATATTTGACACAGCATAGGTTTCTAACACAGATTGAATGTGGTCTAAGAACTTAAAAATTTTAAATTGGACATTCACCTATTATGGTCCAATATCCAAAATCTAAATACATGGTTAGATTCAGCATATCAAAGAACCCCAAGAATTCAATTTTTGATGAAATCAAACAAAGTTTAATTTTGGACCCTTTTGACCTCAATGTGGACAAAGTTGATAACGGGACCCAAAAATCAAAAATCAAAATACATGGTTAGATTCAGCATATCAAAGAACCCCATATATTCAATTTTTGTTGAAATCAAACAAAGTTTAATTTTGGACCCCGATTTGGACCAACTTGAAAACTGGGCCCATAATCAAAAATCTAAATACATGTTTAGATTCAGCATATCAAAGAACCCTAAGAATTCAATTTTTGTTAAAATCAAACTAAGTTTAATTTTGGACCCTTTGGACCTTAATGTAGACCAATTTGAAAACGGAACCAAAAATTAAGAATCTAAATACACGGTTAGATTCGGCATATCAAAGAACCCCAATAATTCAATTTTTGATGAAATCAAACAAAGTTTAATTTTGGACCCTTTTGACCTCAATGTGGACAAAGTTGATAACGGGGCCCAAAAATCAAAAATCAAAATACATGGTTAGATTCAGCATATCAAAGAACCCCATATATTCAATTTTTGATGAAATCAAACAAAGTTTAATTTTGGACCCTTTTGACCTCAATGTGGACAAAGTTGATAACGGGGCCCAAAAATCAAAAATCAAAATACATGGTTAGATTCAGCATATCAAAGAACCCCATATATTCAATTTTTGTTGAAACCAAACAAAGTTTAATTTTGGACCCCGATTTGGACCAACTTGAAAACTGGGCCCATAATCAAAAATCTAAATACATGTTTAGATTCAGCATATCAAAGAACCCTAAGAATTCAATTTTTGTTAAAATCAAACTAAGTTTAATTTTGGACCCTTTGGACCTTAATGTAGACCAATTTGAAAATGGAACCAAAATTTAAGAATCTAAATACACAGTTAGATTCGGCATATCAAAGAACCCCAATAATTCAATTTTTGATGAAATCAAACAAAGTTTAATTTTGGACCCTTTGGACCTCAATGTGGACCAATTTTAAAACGGGGCCCAAAATCCAAAAACTAAATACACGGTTAGATTCAGCATATTAAAGAACCCCATGAAATCAAGAATAAAACCCCATTGAAATTGGTCAAGAAATAAGCAATTTATAGGAAGTATCTTCTTTTGCACAATCCTGTGCTATTAAATATTTCTTGCTATTGCGCAATACTGTACAATTGACAATTTCTTGCTATTGCGCAATATTGTGCTATTGGATATTTCTTGCTATTGCGCAATACTGTGCAATTGAAGATTTCTTGCTATTGCGCAATACTGTGCAATTGAAGATTTCTTGCTATTGCGCAATACTGTGCAATTGAAAATTTCTTGCTATTGCACAATACTTATTATATAATAATTTACACATCCTGTTTGGTGTGTATCTCCTACCATATCATTATTATTTGATTTTAAATATAAATCAGAAATTACCAACTTAAAATGGAAAATTTTAAAAGAATCAAAAAACGAAAAAACGAAAAAAAAGGAAAAAAAATAAATCCCCCCCAAAAATTTTATGAACCCCCATTATGATTCATCACCCCCAAACTCAATCCCAGCCTTCCCTTTGTGGTATGGTACCTTGCAGTACAATTTCAGAGAGATCCATACACTTGAACACAAGTTATTGTCTGGAAACTAGAAAAAAATGTGTTTTTTGGCCCCTTTTTGGCCCCAAATTCCTAAACGTTTAGGGCAATTACCCCCAAACTCAAACCCAGCTTTCCCTTTGTGATATGGAACCTTGTAGTTCAATTTCAGAAAGATCCAAAAACTTACACACAAGTTATTGTCATGAAACTAGAAAAATGCTTGTTTTTTGCCCCTTTTTTGGCCCCTAATTCCTAAAATTTGGAGGCAATTACCCCCAAAATCAATCCCAGCATTCCTTTAGTGATATGGAACCTTGTGGTACAATGTCAGAGAGATCCATACACTAACACACAAGTTATGTCTGGAAGTTACAAAAATGCTTATTTTTGGCCCCTTTTTGGCCCCTAATTCCTTTACTGTTATTACCATAACCCCCAAAATCAATCCCAACCTTCCTTTTGTGGTATTGAACCTTGTGGTAAAATTTCATAAAGATCCATTCACTTAAACTAAAATTAGAGTGCGAAAACCAATGTGTCTTCGGACGACGCCGGACGACGACGACGCCAACGTCATACCAATATACGACCACAAAAATTTTTTTGCGGTCGTATAAAAAATAGTCTGGGGTACTTTGACTGTAAGTGGTCATGGATTTGAAGATATTTTAGCATTATACATATAAGAACTTTTCTTAGATCCTGCATGTAAACTATGGTCAAACTGAATACTATATACAGGTTTTGTCATATACCTGGCTACGTAAGAAAGTTTTCCTTTATAAAGCAGGTCATGATCACTTACCTATTGCTCAGTCTAATTAACATGCAGAGTGATTGCAAATTAGGAATAAGGGAGAATAAGACACAATCAGAATCACTTACTTTAAATGTGATGAATATCTCCTCCTTCCCGACCATCATTCTGACAGTTTGACCATCTTCAACACCTTTAAATATATACAAAGGAGACAAGGAATTATAAGTCACGGTACCAGGTACTTACTTTAATATTGACATAAAGATAATCTGTCGTTCCTATGCTCACTTTCAATGTAGAATCATCTTCAATACCTTCAAATAAAAAACTCAAAATGAGAATTTTTATTGTAAGGAAATTCATGAGATTCAAAAGAACAAACAGTAATTGGGGAATGTGTCCATCGGACACAGACGATGCCCCCACTTGCATATAACGTTATAAAGGGACATAACTCAAAATCGGTAAGAGTGACGATACCCAAATTCATACTTGATCTTAGTTTTATGGTAATAAGCATTGTGTATAAGTTTCAAAAGATTTGATTTAGGCAAACTTAAGTTAGAGAACAGAAACGAAAAATTCAACAATTTTTCCATTTGTAAAGGGGCGTATCTCTAGAAAGGTTAAAGTGACGCCACCCAAATTCAAACTTGATCTATGTTTTGTGGTTTTAAGCATTGTGTATATGTTTCATAACATTTGGTTGAAGTAAACTAAAGTTAGAGAACAGAAACCAATTTCGGGACGTACGTACGGACGGACAAGAGTAAAACTTAATGCTCCCTCTGCTACAGCTGGGGCATAAAAAAATGTAAGGCATTTGCTAAAACAAGTACTACTCAGTAAAAAAAAAGTTACGTACAGCTATGAGCACTTGTTTTTCCATATCAGTATTTCAAAATTTTATGGGAAACTGAATTTCTCTTGATAATTCATATTTTTATATAGAGATGATCTTAAACAGTCAAGGGTGTAACTTAAATAAGTTATTAGAGAAAAATAACATAGTGTTATTACAGATACTTTCATGAGTTGTCTACACTTTTTTTCTTAATCTGTAGTAACATATGTTTGTTATTAGATAAATATATCATAAATATTTTTATTTTTAGTGGGCACTTGGGAAGTCTTGAAACTTTGTGCAGTAATTTAATACATAACCATGATAACTAATTTTCAAATTCAATTGATACATTTTTGATCAACTATAGTAAATCAATGAGACAAGGCTTTTAAGTGATAAACTTAGCACTGTAATAACTTATTATATGAGACACTTGGGAATTATTTGGAAGCTTGTGCAGAACCTCATTTATACATGCTCTGAATATTATTTCTTACAATAACTTAAAATACATTGTGATCTATGTCTGAGCAAAGGCTTTGAAGAGAATAACACCCTTTAGTTATTACAGGCATATATTTTCTGTAATAACATAGGTTTACTATGCATGATTGGCAAACTATGGACTGCTATATCTTTCTAAAGTTTAGTATACATAAAGACAATTATAATATCAATAGAACTTGCATACAATTTAACAAAATAAAGGATGTATATTGCCGCTTTGAAACATGTAACATACATATGTTATCATATTTTTTTTTATTTTTTAGCCCACAATAACAAATGTATGTTATTTTTCTCTAATAACTTATTTAAGTTAGACCCTTTAGTGTTTAAAGAAATAACAAGGATTTAACCAGATATTTTGCAGGGATGTAGTTAAATAATATATGAGCTGCGTCTGATAGAAATCGACCTTATGCAAAGGAATATCAATACATCTGTTAAGGATGTTCGCTCCTCTTTTTTAAAATTTTTTTTAAAAAGGTTTTATCCATGTAGTGCCATAAAAAATTTTGCCCACTAACCCCTACTTTTCTTTTCATAATTTGATTAAATACAGTTAAAAATGCCATCTTTGAAAATCTTATTAACTACTTGTTATTTTTTCATACTTTTAGATAGAAAAAAGGTGCCAATGTTAAATGTATGAAAAATCTAGAGAGAATCATTTTCCGACAAATTTTCAATGGCTTATATCTCGAAAACAAGCACATGGACCATCTGCTTTTTGAATTCCTTTATTTATATACTATCAATTTATAACAGTCTTTTAAAAAGCTTGTTATTTTGAAACAGAGTAGTGAACATCCTTAACCTATTTCTGGTTGAAAAAATTCTCTATGGGAAGTCTGTAACTGTTTGAAAATTGAGTTCTTATAAAACAGACCAAATTCATCTTATATTTCACAATTGAATGTTCCAAAATCTTATGCATGTGTATGTATACGTGCACTTGCATAAGGTCAATTTTATCATATACAGAATGTTGGGCAAGTTGGCATTTTATTTGGACACTAATGATGACACAACTTAAAACACTTACCTGCAGGAACAGGTACTACAACCTTTTTTCTCATTATAATACTGCCTTTTCCCTGACATTCTGTACAGGGCTGTTTAATTATCTTTTTAGCACCATAGCAAACCCGACAAGTCGATCTCATTACAAAAGGACCTGTTTGTAAATCTTCCTACAAATAGAAATCTAGTCTTTACCTTGTAGTTCTAGTAGCATTTATCACCAACAATATTATATTTTCTACAAAATGTCAATATTTGTTAATAATAGAGTGCCTTGTTAAAGACAGAGTTCAATATACAAGTCATGGTTCAGTGAATACCACCTAAGTATGCAGGATTTTATTAATCTACCACGGAAGAATTTTTACTCAGACTTCAAAACTGCATCTTCATCTTTATTTAACAATACCTCATTGAATGGACTATGGACTATGTATGCCCTTCCTTATACATATATATATATCATGGTACTAAACATGCATGAAATATTTGCCACTGGGCATTAATCACCTACAATCAATCAATCAATTCTTATACATATATACAAACATTTCTCTCTAAACATGTTAAGTATCATTTTACAGTCATGACAAGTACCTCTAACAAGACTTATTCCAAGTTCACATATCTCAATACATATCATGGACAAGAATTCTGGATGTAGTTAGTCATACATACCATTCCTGTACCGTTACACTGATGACATCGGACAGCACTTGTTCCCGGCTCACACTTATTCCCGTTACATTTCGGACAAGTATCCTTGACGTTAACATTAATGTCTTTATTAACTCCTCTGGCTGCTTCTTGAAAGCTTAAATCTAACGTAGCCTGAAATACAGAAAATGAAAATTCATGAACTAATGCACTATATCCCTTCTTTCCATAAGGGCTGTTCCAGAATTAAACGCATGGGGCATGGGATGCTCATTTTTCTGACCCCAATCACCCATAACATAAAATGTTCATTTTACTTACATTTCTTACAATATTCTAAAGAGAAATGCAACCACCCACAATTAATTTATTTAAGTGCCTCCCATTCACCCACCATGATCAATTTTGGAACAGCTCTAAAAAAAAAAAAAAAGGAGGAACTTATTTTAACCTGCCACATATCAATGCACTTATCCAATGTTGGAAGCTTTATATAAGTGGTTGTATTTTGATATTTTTTGAAAAATTGGCAAGGACACAAAAATTCAAAGGTTTTCAAGAATAAAATATTTATAGATTGACAAGTTTCAGCGTTTTCCATCAGGAAAAATACAATGAAAAATGAGCGTGGTCCTATCAGTCCACACCCGGGCCTATATTTCTCTTCTGTGGTGCTATAATTTTTGGTAAAAAATCGTTAATTCGGTAAAATTGTGACTTGTTAAATCTTACCTGTGTGGTATAAAATTACAGGTGAATTGATAGTTACAACAGGTGATTGAGTTACCTGATGAGGGTTACCTGTTGCTGATTGGATTTAATCAATTAGCACTTGTAACTTGTTTCTTTTGCGTATTAATTAATATGGAGACAATTTATGACTTCAAACAACAATTTTATGGCTTCACTCACCACCCAAGCCTAGACCAGTGATGTAATCGGAAATTTTAATTTGGAAACTAACTGCCGATAGTTGTACACATGCCGAAATTTTTTTTATACTTGATAAAAGATGAACTGTTGAACCATTAAATAATTATAATTCATAATCATGCATATTTTTATTATGTATGAGCAATTTGTCCAAGCTAGCATCATATATCCTGTCTCTTTTAATGAGTCTTCCTTCTCTAATACAACAGAAAAACTTGTTTTTGACCGTGGGTTTACTTCCAGTTTGACAGTTGATTTTATGAGTTTTATACACCAGCCACAATTAATTTGGACCCTAAAGTGACTTCTATTGACAGTCACAGTCTGTGTACTTTTGGAAAGGTTCTCTCTTTTCACCCAAAGGTATGATGAGTATTTTTTAAACAGCAAAAACAACGTTTTCATAATAAATCCATAAAGAGTTACTCCCCCTATTTTTGGCTATTTTGAAATTCTCATGTTAAAAATATGTTTACTCATAGGAATATTTATAAGTAAACAAATAATTGCTAACTATTAAAATAGAATGTTATTTAATAAAAATTAAAATTCTGTATACATACAGACACAAGTATGTGTCCATAGTACACGGATGCCCCACTAGCACTATCATTTTCTATGTTCAGTGGACCGTGAAATTAAGGTCAAAACTCTAATTTGGCATTAAAATTAGAAAGATAATATCATAGGGAACATATGCACTAAGTTTCAAGTTGATTGGACTTCAACTTCATCAAAAACTACCTTGACCAAAAAATTTAACTTGAAGCGGGACAGACGGACGAACGGACAGCCTGAAAAACATAATGCCCCTAGGTGGGGCATAAAAATACATTGTAAATGAGAGGTAATATCTCCAATACTCCCAATGAAATCAAACCAGTATTATATAGACATTGTACCAACCATACCAAGCCTTTTCAGCCAGTCAAGGTATTACAAACCACCCTAGTATTACAAATACAAATATTGTTTGAAATATCAATAAAAGAACAGAGTTCCAATGTCCCCCACGTTGCACATATTCTATCTATCCAAGGTACAAAGGTTATAACTAAAAAATACACTTTTTTTTTGTTCTGTAAAATTGTTCATAAATGTCTTAAAGAAATGAATGCTTCAGAGCAAATTCAATGTGATTTTCAATATAACTAGATATCATTGAGATGGGAGCCATCTCTATGGGCCACGCTGTGAATAATGTGTGGCAAAAAATTTGTATCTTTATCATTGGACATGGGGTTGTCAACTGAAACCAAAGTTTTTGACCTTGACCTTTGACCTAGGAAGTTGTACATAAATTATAACACACCCTCTGGTGTTGGTTTATATACATGTCAAGTATAAACTTTGAAATCATAACGGTTCTCAAGATATAGAGCAGACACAATCTTTACCATAGGACATGGGGTTGTCAACTTAAACCAAAGTTTTTGACCTTGACCTTTGACATAGGAAGTTGTACATAAATTATGACACACCCTCTGGTGTTGGTTTATATACATGGCAAGTATAAACTTTGAAATCATAACGGTTCTCAAGATATAGAGCGGACACGATCTTTACTATAGGACATGGGGTTGTCAACTAAAACCAAAGTTTTTGACCTTGACCGTTGACCTAGGAAGTTGTACATAAATTATGACACACCCTCTGGTGTTGGTTAATATACATGTCAAGTATAAAATCATAACGGTTCTCTAGATATAGAGCAGACACAATTGGTTATGGACGGACAGACAGACAGACAGACTGATCACTATAGGGCGGCCGCCATTTGGCGGGGCCCTAATTAATATTTCCAAGGGGCATAACTCTTAAAAAATATTTGATCAGCACTTATTTTCGAAAGTGTGAAAGTCATTGCTGATATAAACCTATGATATAAGTTTCATAAAATTCTGGCAAGAATTGTACACATGAGAGCACTAATGATGCAATTTTCCATATAATTAATATTTCCAAGGGGCATAACTCTTTTAAAAATAATTGATCGGCACAGATTTTCGAACTCATCCAAGACATTGATGATATAAACATATAATATAAATTTCATAAAAATCTGGCAAGAATTGTACACATGAGAGCACTCCAATACAATTTTCCATATAATTAATATTTCCAAGGGGCATAACTCTTTTAAAAATATTTCATAGGCACTGATTTTCGAACTCGTCCGAGACATTGCTGATATAAACCTATGATATAAGTTTTATAAAAATCTGCCAAGAATTGTACATGTGAGAGCACTAACAAGACCAGACGAAAGATGGACAGACATTGCAAGGGGACAAAAAAAAAGTATTACAAATACATGTAGTAATAATAATTGACATTTCTCTTCATGCTTATGACTGAATGGAGAATATAATTTCTATCACTGCAATAATGTCAACAAAACACAGTACAAAAGAAAAGAAACACTCAAATGGATAAAAGGTAATAAAAAAAGAGAGAACTCTATGGAAACTAACCTAAAGGAAAAAAAGAGTTGCAATGCGATGTAAATTATGTTCGATGCATATATCTAATTTGTCGCCTTGATTACCCTGGTGCTATTTAAAAATCCAGGGGAGAACACTGGGTATACACAGACATGCCGCTGGTATAGGCACATTTTAATAGTTTCCATTTAATCTATTCAGAAATTTGATAGATACTTGTTTATTGAGGAAGACTGTAAGTTACCTTTTAGATATTGTTTTATTATTTGTGTTGGGTTGCTGTTTCATACATCTCCTCTATTGATATGGTTCACTTATAAAACATGCAAACACTGATTCTATACACCATAGATATATAGTCGAATAGAAATAGCTCTGAACCAAAGCAGTTTATTACTATGCTTTTCCAACAATGGCTGTTTGCTGAAACCTCACACAAACTGTTACCAAAGTCAGACATAATGCATGTTGTCTTGTGTTGCGATTTGAACCCAGATTACATCTGAATAATATTCTTACCTCAGTTGCAGGAGCAAAGCCCCACTTTGACGACTCATAATCTGTAAAGTCATTAAATCCTCCCATCTTGAATCCTGCTTGTCCAAAAATATTTCGGAACAATTCCTCAGGGTCAATAGACCCATGGAAATTTTCAAATCCTGGAGGAAAAAAAAGAAGATACAATTTATAAATTTTTTTTTCCTCTTTTATCGAGAATATTTATTATCCAGATTTATATTTTTAATAGCTTTCTTTGTTGTCTTCCTAATAATACAAACCCAATCACTAAACATTTTTCAGGCAAATTATTCCATTGACACATTAGGCCAAAAAAAATAATACATGTGTTTCCGCTAACCCTACCTACCCTAATTTTTAGTACCTACCCTAACACTTTTTATGTTATTTTTGAACAAGCACTTTTAAAGTCAGACAGATTCATTAGTAGTAACCAGCTAAAAAATGTTTGTAAAATAAAATGATATTGCCTACCTACCTACCCTATTTTTTCCCTGCACATTAGCGAAAACACATGTATCATTTTGTTTGGCCTTATTAATCATTTGATTTCTCTTCAGTTCATCTATGCAATGTGAGCATACTGTTCTTGTTTAAGTTACTCCTGTACTTCTTTTAAACTTTTTTTTTTTATAATAATGTTACTTTTCATCTACAGATTTCCCAAATTTATTGACTATCCAATGACTGAACAATTTCCTAGCACTCAGTTTTTTTCTCTCCTTGACTTGCAATGTTCACAGTCTATGCACTATTGTCTCCATATGAATTAGAATGTGTCAAATAAAAAAAAAGAAAACATTGACCTCTGTACTTAAAGTATATTGTTAATTATATCGTTAGGCAGGAATTTCATTTGTACTTCAGTATACCTTTTTTTGTAAATCATTGTTTCCACACCTCAACAATGAAGGACAAAAAATCTTAATACCTCAAATCTTAAGCTACTCTCATACCTACCTTGACCTTGTGCCTGTCCACGACTCTGTCCACGAGAAGCTCCGCCCATTCCACCCATACCACCAGACATACCAAATGTATCATATTCACGTCTTTTAGTGCTATCACTCAAAACCTTTTAACAGAAACAGATAATGTTAACTCATATGACAGTACATATATGCTGTTAGAAAAATTATCCTCTAATGTTGATTCATTTATTTTTCGTGGGCACCAATTTTCGTGCATTAGGGAAAATTGTATTTTCGTAAATATTTGTTCTCGTTGTTGAGCAAATGTCTGCAGATAAACATTTGGATAATTTGTTCTTCGTTTTAACATCTACATTTGTGATTTACCTATACCCATCAAATCCACAAAAATTGATTTCCCACAAACATTAAAAAATACAAAGTATGAGATCTGTTAAGGCAGTTCTCTCACCTTTGTTCATTGTTAAAGCCATTGGAATATATTTAATTTGTCCACTTCCTGTAACCATTTTTTTAGTTCCAATACTTAACTACAACTGTAATTATTTTTTCACAAGCTGACTCCAATGATGTTTGCAAAACAATTACTTTTGGTCTGTGATATACAATGTTTTCTGTTGTGACGCTTAGGTTTGATTTTCTGTAACTGCCTTCAAAGTCCCAAAGAAATTAATTTGAAAAAACTCATTAAACACAGATAAACTGTCTTAAAGAATTATATAAAAGAGCTATCACACATACAAAACTGACCAAAAAAATGTGGAGTAAAACTCCACAAATGTCTTACAGTAAACCAGGAAGTTAATGCAGTCATACTTAAATCAATGATACAAATCACCAAACTATTTATAAGTTAATACAGGAGGTAGCGACCAGAATGTTACCAAACAGTATTATATTATCTACAATCCACATTATTTGGACTCTGTTGGATAATCAGATTGAGTCTCATTGGCAATCATACTACAACTCCTTCTTTTGTATACATTGTGGTGGTCAGTTTGTAATGGTGGAGTAATTAGCAGGATATATTTTATATACTATACAATATAGAGGGTTATTAAACTTTCTCATGTCACTTTTCCTTGTTAAGTCCTTACTTCATAGGCTTCTGAAACTTCCTGGAATTTTTTAGCAGATCCTGGATCATTCTTGCTCACATCAGGGTGGTGCTTTTTGGCAAGCTGCAATAAAAGAAATATAGAAAGTAGATTAAGTAGACTAGAAAGTTGACAGAAAAATTTTACATTTTTCCTCATAGTTCGACAAGATTCACTTTTTTTCAATGTTTGACAAGATATCATCTTGGTTAGTCATGTTAGTAATTCTATGCCATTATCCCTTAATCATGATCTGTTTAAACTAAAGTACGGCTGCGTAACAGGTAAATTCACATAAGGCCAAAAAAAAAATATATGTCTGTTTACGGTTACCCGACCGTCCCTACTTTTAAGCGCCGACCCTAAGTCATTTTATTTCCTTCGTAAAGTGAAAAATAAACTGAACTCGTGTCTAAAGCAAAGTTAGTGTTGCAAATAATATAAATCAATTGCCTGATACATCCTAATGTTCACAATCGTGAATATGACAGCTGTTTGAAGGAAATTCGCAACTCGTGTGATGAAATAAACACTTTGCAGCCGTTTTTTTTCCAAGGGAAATAATCCAATCATTAAAAATTTGGGTAAACTCGGCCCATGATCAACTCGGACCACGACAAGATGAAAGGCATGAATCAAAATCATGTCACAAAAAATAAAATAAAATGGAAATACTGACCTACCTACCCTATTTTTTTAAAGTATGTAAAAACAGACATATATTTTTTTTTGGCCTAAGATTTGATCAAACAAACAAATTTTGTTCTTTTTACTGTTTTATCAATTCAGGCTATTTCATCTGAGTGCCATCCCATAAAAAAAAACAATTATTGTACCTAGGGAAGGTACTTTGAAATCTCAAATATTGGTTGGTGTCAAATAACAGTTTGTATAGTGAAAATGTAAGAGAAATATAGACACTAAAAGATCAATTCCACTACAATTCTTATTATCCATTATTTCTGCATAACTTTCATTAGAAAACGTTGTCTTGATGAATATGAAACAATAAATATTAATGCAATCTATGCACACAAATATTCTGCTAGGGCATAGAATCATCGGCCAGTATTCTTGGAGGGCCTTATCTTCTTCCTGTATGCAGCAAGGCAAAATTCATCATTTTATAACAAAATATACATATTTTTACGATCAATTAGCCAACTATTTCATTGCACTTTGTAAGTATCAAACTGGAATTGTGTGATCCCTGAATAAATACCTATCATTGCCTATAGTATGATGGCTCCCCAGATAATTACGTATACTTGCCTCATAATAAGCTTTTTTAATAGCCTTAGCATCTGCATTTTTTGGAACTCCTAAAAGATCATAATAGTCCTTTTTGTTGTTTGGTGAACTTCTGTGAATTTTTCTATGTAAACAACAGGTTTTGTGAGCAACAGACAATACATCTGAAATTACAATAAAATATATATATTGCTTCGACACCACAGTACCTTCTTAATATGTTTACCAGTACCTGAATACAATCCTATCATTGTTGACCAATGTTGAACTGATAATACAGTATTTTTTTCAAAGACCATCTTTAATTCAGACCCAGTCAAACTTAAATTGTTTTGACAGGTCAGGAGGTCCAGTAATAAATATTTTTTACTGGACCTTCATCATGTTCATTGCTATTACAGGACCTGCGTATTATCACGGGGCGAATTTGCTAGGGGGGTCTGGGACTATGCCCCCCCGGAAAAATTTTGAAAAATTAGATGCAAATCCTGCATTCTGATGAGTGCTTTGACTATGATAAATGAAGTAACCAAAACTACTATCTCGTACTACACTTTTGCATGTTTAATCATATTGAATAAAACTTCATTTTTTAAGACTTTATTTAAATTTATTCCTCTTTGGCATAATCTAGTATTTTATTTGAGTTCATGGATTCATCCTGAGCTTCATAGCTGTACATCGATCATCGGCCTTCAGTTTTTGACCAGGCGCTGCCCCATCATAAAAACGGAGGAAACTCATGTTATTGTTTACAACACGTGTTTCTGGCGCATGCGTAAGGAAATGCTGGAAACTGACGCAACGGACATGACATTCGAGATACAAAATCTTCAAAATATTCAAATTGAAAGGGTTTAGGCAATAGGGGACAAGCCAGTGAGCCTTAAAATCATCTTATAATATGTTTTAATAAAATGCTCCGCAGGGCGCAGCTTGATACGACCGCAGAGGTCGAACCCTGAAACAGTTGGGGCAAGTATGGACACAACATTCAAGCTTGATACAGCTCTGAATTTGGATTGTGATTAAATATTTGACACAGCATAGGTTTCTGACACAGAATGAATGTGGTCTAAGAACTTAAAAATTTTAAATTGGACATTCAACTATTATGGTCCAATATCCAAAATCTAAATACATGGTTAGATTCAGCATATAAAAGAACCCCAAGAATTCAATTTTTGATGAAATCAAACAAAGTTTAATTTTGGACCCTTTTGACCTCAATGTGGACTAAGTTGATAATGGGGCCCAAAAATCAAAAATCTAAATACATGGTTAGATTCAGCATATCAAAGAACCCCATATATTCAATTTTTGTTGAAATCAAACAAAGTTTAATTTTGGACCCCGATTTGGACCAACTTGAAAACTGGGGCCATAATCAAAAATTTAAATACATGTTTAGATTCAGCATATCAAAGAATCCTAAGAATTCAATTTTTGTTAAAATCAAACTAAGTTTAATTTTGGACCCTTTGGACCTTAATGTAGACCAATTTGAAAACAGAACCAAAAATTAAGAATCTAAATACACGGTTAGATTCGGCATATCAAAGAACCCCAATAATTCAATTTTTGATGAAATCAAACAAAGTTTAATTTTGGACCCTTTGGACCTCAATGTGGACCAATTTAAAAACGGGGCCCAAAATCCAAAAACTTAATACACGGTTAAAATCAGCATATTAAAGAACCCCAAGAATTCAAGAATAAAACCCCATTGAAATTGGTCAAGAAATAAGCAATTTATACGAAGTATCTTCTTTTGTACAATACTGTGCAATTGAATATTTCTTGCTATTGCGCAATACTGTACAATTGACAATTTCTTGCTATTGCGCAATATTGTGCTATTGGATATTTCTTGCTATTGCACAATACTGTGCAATTGAAGATTTCTTGCTATTGCGCAATACTGTGCAATTGAAGATTTCTTGCTATTGTGCAATACTGTGCAATTGAAAATATCTTGCTATTGCACAATACTTATTTTATAATAATTTACACATCCTGTTTGGTGTGTATCTCCTACCATATCGTTATTATTTGCTTTTAAATATAAAACAGAAATAACCAACTTAAAATGGAAAATTTTAAAAGAAAAAAAAAAGGAAAAAAAAAAAATCCCCCCCCCCCCCAAATTTTTTGAACCCCCTTATGATTCATCACCCCCAAACTCAATCCCAGCTTTCCCTTTGTGGTATGGTACCTTGTAGTACAATTTCAGAGAGATCCATACACTTGAACACAAGTTATTGTCTTGAAACTAGAAAAATGCTTATTTTTGGCCCCTTTTTGGCCCCTTATTCCTAAACGTTTTGGGCAATTACCCCTAAAATCAATCCCAGCATTCCCTGTGTGATATGGAACCTTGTGGTACAATTTCAGAGAGATCCATACACTTGAACACAAGTTATTGTCTGGAAACTAGAAAAATGCTTATTTTTGGCCCCTTTTTGGCCCCTTATTCCTAAACGTTTTGGGCAATTACCCCCAAACTCAATTCCAGCTTTCCCTTTGTGATATGGAACCTTGTAGTACAATTTCAGAAAGATCCATACACTTACACACAAGTTATTGTCATGAAACTAAAAAAATGCTTGTTTTTTGCCCCTTTTTTGGCCCCTAATTCCTAATATTTTGAGGCAATTACCCCCAAAATTAATCCCAGCATTCCCTGTGTGATATGGAACCTTGTGGTACAATGTCAGAGAGATCCATACACTAACACACAAGTTATGTCTGGAAGTTACAAAAATGCTTATTTTTGGCCCCTTTTTGGCCCCTAATTCCTTAACTGTTGGTACCATAACCCCCAAAATCAATCCCAACCTTCCTTTTGTGGTATTGAACCTTATGGTAAAATTTCATAGAGATCCATTCACTTAAACTAAAGTTAGAGTGCGAAAACCAATGTGTCTTCGGACGACGCCGGACGACGCCAGACGACGACGACGACGTCATACCAATATACGACCAAAAAATTTTCAATTTTTGCGGTCGTATAAAAAACAATAAATTGCTCCGCTGAGTGCAGCTGGATACGACCGCAGATGTCCAACCCTGAAAAGTTGGGGGCCAAAATGGACACAATATTCACGCTTGATACAGGTCTGAATTTGGATTGTAATTAAATTTTTGACACAAAATAGGTTTCTGACACAGAATAACTGCAGTCAAAGAACTTCAAATTGGTTATATGATTTGAATTTATATTCAATTTTTTGCTTTTGTGCAATACATTATGCGAATTGACCCCTCCCCCCCCCCCCCCCCCCCCAAAAAAAAAATTTAACCCCGTTTTTTTGCATTTGTGCAGTACACTATGCTGTTGAATATTAACCCCCCCAAAAAATATATTTGAAGAAATTTTCTTTTAATTTCTGAAATCTGAAATGAGAAAAATTGTCCCCCTCCAAAATTTTTCACCTCCCCCCTTTCCTTATTCAAAAAAAAAATTCTTTCCCTCAAGTTATGGTCAGTATCTCAGACAATCATCATTTCTTAATACATAATTTACAAGCAGTGTAAGGGAGGTAATCAAACATTGTTATTTAAATTGATTTGGATTTTGATTTGGATTACCTCCCTTACACTGCTTTTAAATTATCTCAATTGTCCTTTAACCAGAAAAACCCTTGTGTTTCCCCTTTTTTTGCCCCTAATTCCTAAATGGTTTGAGCCATAACCCCCCAAAGTCAATCCTAACCATTCCCTTGTTGTATGGAAACTTGTGGTATGATTTCAGAGATATTCATACACTTTAACACAAGTTATTGTCTGGAAACTACAAAAATGCTTATAAGGGCCCCTTTTTTGGCCCCTAATTCCTAAACAGTTGGGACCATAACCCCCCAAAATCAATCCCAACCTTCTTTTAGTGGTTATAAACCTTGTGTTAAAATTTTATTGATTTCTATTTACTTATACTAAAGTTATTATCCGGAAACCATCTGTCTTCGGTTGATGCTGACGACGACGACAACATGATACCAATATACGACCAAAAAATTTTAGAAAAAGATTACCAGACAACACTCACCCTGCCAACTATCCCGATTTATGGGAGACATCCCCCATGAGAATGGTGGACATCTACCATGAGAGGTGTTGACCTGAATTTTGAAATTCTTCATTTTAAAAACTGAACACCTCAAAACAGGCATTCAAATAAGCTGGCATTCAAATAAGCTAAAAGGGTATTTAAGCAAATACATACTCATTCAAACAATATAGTATTAGATTAAAAACACTTATGACGATATAAGAGGAGCAGTAGGTCATCTTGCACTTGAAATCCCCATGGAGATTTTGAAAAGTTGGCATGTGTGAACACTTAATTTAATTACTATATATATTTGTAGGGGAAATAACTCCATTTTTTTAATCATACGACATCCCCTAGATTTAATTTGTTCTTGTTTTCTTATTATATTTCTGGAGTTGCATTTTATAGTACAACATTGTACAAAGAATATGAAGGACTTTGCAAACTCCTAACACAATTTGACATTGTAAAGCTAGAAAACTTGGAATTTCCTCCCTAAATACATGGATATAATTGTGAGGGTTCTCTTAGAAATTAGTTGGATTTTATTTATTGTGAGACATCCATCTTGACAACACCTGACATCATGAAAATAATTACCACATTCTGCCTGTCAGATCTATGCTGACATTCATTCAGGGTCTAGGGTACCTTTTCAAATAAACAATTTTATTTCTGTTCAATATGTTCAGTTTAAAGCACTTTCCAATTACCAGGATTATCCTAAGCACACATGTGTTAAATAAATATCTTATTTCTAAATATTCAATAATTAATTTTTACTATTACTATAAACCTTTTCTTGACATGGGCCTCTTTTTTTCTCACAAGTGAAATACTTCAGTGTTTTTGTATGTAAACAGACTGCGCAGATCTGACAACACTGGGTTCTCCTTTATGTTTTAAAACCTTTCAGGATTTTGTTGCAAATTAATGATACACTTTAAAGAAAAATTAAAATTGAATTTCATTTGCCGGATATGTAATTATCAGAACAGAAAGTAGAGCAGAGTGTTGTCAGATCCATGTCCTAAGTCAGGAGCCTGTTGTTCAGTGGTTATCGTTTGTTGGTGTGGTTCATAAGTGTTTCTCGTTTCTCGTATTTGATATAGATTAGACCGTTGGTTTTTCTGTTTGAATTGTTTTACACTAGTCACTTTGGCATGTTTACTTGTTTTTGTTAATATGTCTTTCTGATTGAGTTAAGGCATTTCAATTGATATTTCATAGTATGTCTTTCTATGTTGTAATGTTACACTATTATTTCAGTTTAGGGTGAAAGTTGGTGCCTGTTAAAACATTTAAACCCGCTGCATTTGTTTACACCTGTCCCAAGTCAGGAACCTGTTGTTCAGTGGTTGTCGTTTGTTGATGTGGTTTATAAGTGTTTCTCGTTTTTTATATAGATTAGACCGTTGGTTTTCCTGTTTGAATTGTTTTACACTAGTCATTTTGGGGCTCTTTATAGCTTGCTGTTCGGAGTGAGCCAAGGCTCCGTGTTGAAGGCCGTACTTCGACCTATAATTGTTTACTTTTTACACATAGTGACTTGGATGAATAGTTGTCTCATTGGCACTCATACCACATATTCACAGATTCTGTATTTTAATCAGATTGGTATAACATGTGTATTGAGTTCAATTGGTTCAAGTTATACAATCAGTTTTAATTTGAATACTTTTTTGTGCCTTTGAAGTTTGGTTTAGGATTCTATGAGTAACATAATCTCATAAACATGATAAAGGATTAAATCAATCTATAATAACTAATACTGCAGCTATCACCTGTTACTTTACATCGTTTGATTCATTTCCACATACTTCAATGTTTCAAAGATGACGACGGATATGCTCCAATTGTCGTTACCACAGTTTTTCCTCAAATGTGAACTACCAATTAAGATTTATCACTTGGTTTGTACTTACATGAGCAACACGACCATGACGACATGTGCCAAATTTAGAGCATGATCTATTTACTCTTCCGGAGCACCTGAGATAACCCCCTCCCCACACCTGGTTTTTTGGTGGGGTTTGTGTTGTTTTGTCTTTAGTGTTCTATGTTGTTGTTGTTTTCGATTTGTGGGGGGGGGGGGGGGGGGGGTAGGAGGGGTCCTGATCTCAAAATCCCGGGCTTAAAAACATGGAATCCCGAGGTCCCGAATTTAAAAAAAAAATAAAATCCCGACATCCCGAAATTCGAAAAAAAGAATTCCCGGATCCGAAAAGGATCAATCCCGAAATCCCGAGCTTAAAAACACCCGATCCCGGAGTCCCGATAAAGGTCCTACCCCACCCCCATTTGTTTGAATATCCCTTCAAGTATCTTTTGGCAGTTTTGCCTCTTTTACATAAATAAAAGTACAAAACAAATGTCAACACCACTAGGCAGATAGCTTTATCTATTTATTTCCTTGATAGTATTGATAGAAAACTTCAATCAATGACTGAATGGGCCTTAAGTTCATATGACGCAATTTAGTTTTAACCGGCGACGTTTCGACCTTAGTTGCGGTCATGCAGAATGTTTAGTATATATTTAAATATTTACTTGTTTTGCCAGCTGTTTTTAAAATTACTGATGAGGAACAACGTCTTTCGATGTGACGACAGGTATCGTCAGGGAAAGGAGACCTTCCTGAGACAACCACTGTTGCATTTAATTTCTTATTTCCAAGTCGACAGCATGCGCCTCTAAGAGCAGCCATTTTCCGTCTGCTGAAAATCAAGTGGGAAATAAAATTTCAATACCGGAAACAAATTATGTAATTCTATAGATTTGATATCTGAAAAGTAAACAGCAAACTTAAATAAAATATTTCATTTTGTTTTGTTTAAGGTTTATTTTTGTCATAAAATTTTGATTTCCAGTTAGTTTTATACAACTAAAAAATTAAAAATTCGTCTGCTCCTTATCCCACACGGTTCTCATATGATCTCGGAAATCCCCGCGATACTTCAAAAGCCGGAAACTTCAAACCTGATAAACTGATTTCCTGTAAATTTTCATAACAGACGACAAAGTCTATTGAAAAACATATTAAAGAGGAGAACCTGACAGTAATTACTTATATAAATGAAATCAAGCTTACGCAATGTTTATTGAAATTTCAAAGAGAATATATCAGCTTATTTTCTTTTAGAAAACCTGTTGCCAATGTCCTTGATCCAAGATCCGCCCCTTGGATCGGCTTGATGAGAACAATGCAGGAATCTTTATTTTAAAGTAAAATTTAGACTCATACATCCAAAGGGTTCTCTTGAGTAGAGAAATCTTTCTAATGAACAGCTCTGATGTGGAAATGCTGTGCATGACTCGTAACTCCAACCGTAAACTGAGACTAATAGTAGAGGGTGGTAAAGGGGGGTCTGAACACGGAAACACGTGAAATAAAAATTGCAAAAACGTTGTACGGAAAATAAAAATCGGGAAAAACAAAGCACGAGAAATATAATCATAAATATTAAGAAAAAAGGTACTAGAAGTTATTACTCAGCCGTTCTTAGAGATCATGCAGTCATTATTAATGGACATGAAGACCCTGCGGTCACCTTTTAGCTTCGGCTAGTTGAATTTGATTTGAAAAAATATTATTAATAGTAATTTGATGGACTTTATTACATACCATACATATACAATAGAATTGCAAAAGTAAGAATGGTAACTGAGTATACATCAAGTTCTATTAGATTACACAAGTTTTACTTTTTAGTCAAATGCAAGCACGAGAAATTAAGAGTTCCCACACGAAACACAGAAAATAAATAAGGGGAAGCACGTACATCGAACCAAACATGAGAAAACGAGAAATAAAACACCAAAACACGAAAACACGTAAAATAAAAATGCACGAAAATAACCCTTTACCACCCTCTTAGTATTATACTTACTTAGTATTTAATAATATTAGTAACTAAGTTACTAAATTTAGACCCAGTCGTAATTTGCACCACTTCAAACATGAAATAAATTTACCTGCCCATAGACCATTGTTATTTGAATAAAATATGCTTGTCCCAGGACAATCCATCAGTGCTTTTTCTTTTGAGAGCCATAAAACATGCCAATGGTAGGATTTGAATCCTGAATAATGACGAAGGCGAATTTCTACCCTACTTTCATTTTGGCCGAATCACTACTTTCACTTTCAACAATAAATGTTTTCCACATGTCTTACTTATTTCAATATATATGCAACTGATAGATCCACTTAAATAGTAAACATTTCAAAGAAAACAGTAGTCAGAATACTTAGGAAGAAATACCCCATATAATAATTGGGAACTATATTCCTAGACCATGAACAAAGGGAATTAATTGTGGTCTGAAGCCTATTAGACCTAAAAAATTTATAGTATTCTTATGAAACTTTTCAATTACTTAGCATGATATCTTAGTAGTATAAATGTCAAATTTTATTACATTCTGACAATTATTAAAAAAGTTTGGAATGTTTTTATATTAGCATATCTGTCTGAGGAACATGCGTTTTGCAAAGTTTTAAGAATTCAGTCAAAATTTTATTCAGAAAATATTTGTTTAGTAATTTTTTACCAAAATATGCCTTGATCCAGTAAACATAACTTGTATTTAGTTGTAATGAGACAACCGTTAAAGCAAACTGCACCATACAGTACACACAGAGAGTATGTAATCTCATACTCCCTACACTGTGTAAAAACTTGGTGTCACACCAAGAAACTCCAGCAACTCTCTCCAAATCTTGGGAGGAAATTGGGAGAAACTTGGAGTAATTCCTCCCTAAAACTCCTTAATTGTTTATTACCTTGGTGTGGTTTCTCCCAACAACATGATTTTTATTGCTATGATTACCTTTGAAGTGTGCCAGTAGTTGATGACTACAATAAACATTTCTTGTGTTTCCTGTCATTAAATGACAGTCACAAAAATGATGAAAAGTGTGAGATTTGTTAAATTTAATCAGAGACATATTATAATCTGATTTTATTAAAGAATCCTGTACAACTTTATTTATTAAAATTATATTCAGCATTTGTTCTGACAGTGTTGGTTTTTCATACCTAAGAAACATACAAAAACAAACAAAACATCACCTGTAAGTGGAGTATTATTAATAGAAAATAAAGACATATATTTTAATTGAATTTATTCAATCGTTTTTTCTAAATTTAAATGATAAGAAATAAAGGAAGATTATATAAATGTAATATATATATGTAATTTATCTACATTTTATTTTATTCATTATTTTTTTTTGTATCATTACTATTATTTTTTAAACCATGTATATACTAATATCTATATGTTTAAACTGACTATAAATACAACTTATTGTAAATATATAGTTTCCATTCCTGATTATGAGATTATGAAAGAATGTAAATAATTTTCCAATCTAAAAATACATATTTGTATAAAAATTTTAAAAATCATTTCGTTAACCTTTTTTTAGTGCTTTCAGAAATAAAACTAAATAGGAAATGATTGAAATAGGAAGAAGTGAGAGAATAGTTGACCTGTAATTATGTCACTGTCAGACCATGCAGTCGTGCTTTGTTGATTTTTATTACTCTTACCTGCAATCAACAGGTCATAAAACCCTCCCAGATGGGAGTAATTACTTGGTGTTTTTTGGGAGAGAAATCTGTGTTTCACAGTATGACACTGTGTTACACCAGAATCAGTGTTGGGAGTATGAGATTACATCCTCTCTGTGTGTACTGTATGTGCCAGTTTTTTTTTCATATTTATATATGTCTGATTCTTAAGTCAGAATTGGTCAATATGATAAGGGTACAGCCATAAAAAAGCATAATTGTGGGTAAATTAACACAGAAAAGTTTATTTATTTTCATCTTTCTATCCTCTCTATTGGTTATTTACTTCTAAACAACTAAAAGTAATTTAGAATTGACACTTTTGAACTTTTAAGAAATTTTACTTTACATAGTTTTAAATGTGTTTGTATGTCATGGTATGTCCCAGGATCAAACCAATATTGGAAAAACTTATTGAAATTGCATTTATAAGGTACCCTCATTGATTCAATAAAGTAATATGGTGCATTCTCACAATTTTTTTCTATAATTTTCATTAGAAATCATGTTTACTGTAAAAAATGCCAATTCCTGCCTTATATGCCCAAATATGGTCAAATGTCTTATTTTGATAAATTTTCTGTAATTTCTATTTTCTTTCTTGAAAGGTAATCTGACTTAGATCATTTTGTACCTGTAAGACCTTTTATTCACAATAATTGTGTTTTGTCCAAACTCATCTCCTAGGCCTCAGACCACAGTTATTCTTCCCATTGGTTACAATGCATTTTTTGGTAAAAGTCTAATTGAATTAAAAAAATTGCACTGCTTCAAACATGAAATAAATTTACCTGCTTATAGACCATTATTATTTGAATAAAATATGCTTGTCCCAGGACAATCCATCAGTGCTTTTTCTTTTGAGAGCCATATTAACATGCCAATGGTAGGATTTGAATCTTGAATTATAAATGACGAAGGCGAATTTCTACCCTACTTTCATTTTGGCCGAATCACTACTTTCACTTTCAACAATAAATTTTTTCCACATGTTTTTTACTTATTTTAATATATATGCAACTGATAGGACCACTTAAATAGTAAACATTTCAAAGAAAACAGTAGTCAGAATACTTAGGAAGAAATACCCCATATAATAATTGGGAACTATATTCCCAAAAAAATTGTTAGGAACTGTACTTATCATCACTGCATGTCAAATTTTAAAGAAAAATCCTTAATTACGAAAATATCTAGTGATATATATAATACAGTTCCTAAAGCTAACGATAATCATATTATTGCTTTACAAAACTCATTCTGACTTGAAATTTTTTTTTTTTTCGATTGACAGATTTACTGGAATCCCTTTGTAAGTGGTCTAGTAATAGATTACTTTTTCCTTTCATAAATATGTGATAAACTGGCTCTACGTACATATTTGCTGTGCATGGGCGGATTTACCGGACAAACACATTTCTGATAAAAACACAGATGACCAACTGGTTTTGTTGATTTTATAATTTATTTAGATATTTTTTGGGAAATGAAATAAATAAATCAAAATTGATTTGTCAGTGAATCGATTTATATTAAATTTTGTACAATTTGTATATAATTAGGCAAAAATACATACAATCAAAGCCTTATGTGGGCAGATTTACCATACTGCATCGTATATACAACATACATATGTCTTAATCACTTTTCAGATCTGAGTCGAGGTGGCAGACCTGCCAACTAACCCTGATTTTGGCGGTATCGTCCCGATTTTCGCGCCTCAACCCGAATCCCGATATCGGGATCGTAAAACAAGTCAAAATCCTGATTTTCACAAAATCTACCCCCAAAAAATTGTTAGTTACCGATTTTAAGGTTTTTCTGATCAATTTCTATAAATCTATAATCTTACCTGGCGACATATTTATGACAAGTTTACGACCACAAGCTAATCAATGGTCACAACAGGTGTCATAATTTGTTGTTAAAGGTCATCTGCTTATCTGATGGGTCATAACGATCCTCAAAATTAATTAATTTGTAGGTAAATAGAATTGGTTAGTTAATTTCAATTTATCATACGATCACAATTTGCAATGTTAAGCGTAGTTTCATGACAAAATCGTAATTAACTGAAAGACAAAAACTGTAATGAACTCATTAGAAAACATCGTTTATCTTGAAATCT